GTAAAGAACTGTCCATCTCCCATGTTTAACGGAATAATATACAGCCTATGTCCACCCTGAAGTTCCATTCTAAATATTGGTGAAAGAATTTTTGAAATCGGATGAGTAGTTTCGGAGATTACCTGCTGCATACAAACTAACATACATACAAACATTACCTCTTTATAATATTAGTATAGATGAAATCTCAAAACTTGATGTTTTTAATAATAAACCAAGTGATTGTCGTAATGAATCAGGCTACTTTTACTGCTATTATTAATAATTAAATTCTAAGTAATTTGGTACTAAATGTAAGCATAAGCACCATCTCTTAATAAATTTAATAATTAAATTGAATAAGAGATGGTGCTTAATGTTTAACTCTAGTACCAAATTACTTAGAATTTAATTAATAATAATAGCAGTAAAAGTAGCCTGATTCATTATGGCAATCATTTGGTTTATTATTTTAATATATTCTTCTTTTTAATAAGAAATGTTTTTATTTTTGTGAATTTTTTTTCAAATTAAAGTACATTTCTTTTAAAATAATTTTTAATTTCTGAAAATTAGAATAAAATTTATTATATCAAAATAAATATTTGATTAGGAAAGAATTTACAAAATAATTATAAATTTTCTTTTCTGTACTTTTCTTAAAGTCTCAAAAACATTTCAGTTATAACATATTAAGTATGCTTAAATATTTAATCATTTATTGAATTTTAGATGCTAAATTTGCAAATTATCAGATGAAAAATTACACATTAATATTATCAATTTAAATTTTAATAATCATAATGTTAAAGACATTATGTATATAAATGCAATTAAAATATAAAATAGGCATATTTTAATTTAGTGAATTTTAATTATTTTTTTTATTACTTATTCATGCATAGATGATAATGCAGTGATGATGGAGATAGACCACGAAGCTAGTCAAGTTTACGTGGAACAATTAAGTGTTTTACCTAATCAATTAGCTACCTCCGGAGCATTGAGACCTAGTGCTGAAGCTATTGATTCTCGTTTAACTACTCCAATTGTGATAACTTATGTAGATACAGATAAAATTAGTTTTGAAAGGTAACTTTTTAAAATATATTAACAATTTTGTTGTTAAAAATTGAAATGTTTTATATTTTAAAACATTTCAATTTTTAACAACAAAATTGAAATGTTTTAAAGTATAAAACATTTCAATTTTGTTGTTAAAAATTTATTAACATTATTTTAAACTTTAGAATAAAACTTACAAAACTATATTAGAAATGATTGTTTCATTAAGATAATGCCTTACTTCAGCTTGTTTTGAATATTTTTTACAATTTTACCTTCTGACATGATTGATGTTTTCTGATATTATCAATAATAGAAATTAGAAGAGATTTTTCACTCAAATCCCCTTTAAAAATGCAATTGGAAAAAATTTAAAGATGTTACGTTTGGTTATTTTATACAGTTATTGTACAGTTACCTAACTGCAATCTGTAGTTTATATAATCCATAGGTGCAGTTATTCATTGACAAAAGTGTTTATTGTATTATAATTTGTTAAAGCTTGTGTCATTGTTTATTTGCTTTTTTGGCACTTTAGCAATAAAATGCAATTTGTAAGATATTTTAATAACTAAAAAGAAGTGTTCTGAAATCTTGGAAAGAAATTATTTAATTTGTTTTAAAGTAGTAGATAAAAAGTTTAGAAAAATTGAACTTAATAACTAAAACTGTATAATGGCAAACTACATAACAATAATAATTATATTCATTTATGCTTAGCTTCAACTCATGCTTATGTCATTAGAACTCAAAAATCAAACATGAAACTAACTTTCTATAAAGTTGCTCAGTCTAGGATTAATATTCTGATCAAAATTATGTAATAAAGTAAATTAATAACAAACGAAATAAATAAAAGTTTAATTAGTTATTAACAGAAATGTAATTTCAAAGCATTATTTTGAATAATATTTAATACATTTTTACACTGACATGGGGGTTTTTTCTTTAAACTCAAGTAAGAACTTTATATACTTAACTTGGTATAGAAATTAATTTCAAAAACAATATGAGTTTCTGTACATATTTTTTTTAATAACAATTTAATATAATCAAAATGCAATTAAATTTTATTTGAATGTTAATTTTGTATTATATTTTGTTATGTTGTTTTTTCAGAAATTTAAAAATAAATTATTTTTATAGGAATAAATCAGGGATTTGGGGTTGGAGAAGTGATAAAACAGAAGTTGTGAGTGAACATGAATGTAAAGTAAGATCTTTTTTTATTGTTGTTATTTAAAATATTTGTTTTTGTTAAATATAAAATTTAATTTATTAATTATTAATAAATTAATAATTAATAGTAGCATATATAAATATAAAATTGTGAGATAAGCAGAGGGTCGGGTTAATCCCTTCTGATCACTTACGCTGCAACAGGTTGGTAAAACCCGATCTCTGATCTTCAAATGGCTTAGGAGGGCAAATTGAGTGGGGAGTACATTGGTAAGTTGTCAGGTACAACGATAGACGACAGGTTAAACAAAATAACAAAACGTTTATTGAATAGCTAAGCTAGGATACATAAGGCGATAACAATATTAAGGTTAAATGCGGTTAAATATAAGTAAACTACACAAAGGGCCACTCTTTACAGCTCTAACTGCTCTTACAGCTCTAACTGCGAGAGAGAGAGTTCACAAAGCTCTAAAATGCAAATACTTCTATGAGGATATGACTAATATGTGTTCGTTGAATGGGCCATATGAATCATAGTCAGCACATGAACTGTAGAATGGCGATGGAAGTTCAAAGTTGCTGTCTGTCATATGATAATGTCCTTTCAGTCGCAATGTCCGGTGTATGGAGACAAGATGACACCTTAATAAGTATAACTTCCTTTGGTCACCCGGAGCTTCTGGGGGCTCGAGCTTTTATACGTTCTTTGTGGGAAAGGAGTCACATGATTGACTTCTGTTGACATTAACGGTGCATTCCGATCAACTAAGTGTCAACTTTCCCACCTAATTGTGAAAACAATTGGTGACCTCCGATATAATTCTCACCAAGAATATTTTTTCATTGAAGTTGTTTACAAAGGGTTTTTTTCCCCGACATCTGCGTAAAAATCACGGATCTCACAAAATTATAAAATTCTTGAAAATCTAGTTTTAATTATTATCATTACCAAAGGATTTTATTTCTATTTATTTTTTATAAAAATGATATTGGATTTGTTCAAAATCAATAGAAAAACATGATATATATATATACATAGGCTATCATGAGAATTTTACATGTTTTATTTAATTTAGAATGTCATCTTAGTAATTAGCAATTACTCTTTCTCAATAGCCTACAAGCTTGTAAATGTCTTTCATATTAAAGGAATTGTTTTATTACACTTTGATTTCATTGTGAAATTTCCTTAAAAAAAAAAAATTAAAATTGTTCGTGGAAAAGAATGCATGGAATTTTGAGAAATCAAGGTTCTGTGAACATGAGCATGTTATGATCTTGTCTAATTACAGCAGATTATTTTGTGTCCTTGTTATTGTGTGTCTTCTTGCTTGTATTTTCCCATGCTAAGCTACAATGCTAAGTATTTTCTTATGCTTAATTAGTCCAGTTGTTCATAGTAACACAAATTACTAACTTATCAAAATATGAAATTATCAGTTGAGCTACTAAATCAATTTTCATCTCATTTAGTAGCTCAGTAAAAGTTAGATAATATCTCCTGCAGTTCCACTAACAATAAATTCAGGGCATACAGAAGGTGAAATGTCCAAAAGATGTTCTATCTATCTATATTTGGTTTATTGCATCTGACATTGCCTTCCGACCTCCAGGAACCCCTTCATCTCTTTCTATCCATACACCATTCCTCTTTAATTCCATTTTCACTACATGCTAACTTTACTCCGTTGTACCAAGTTCACTTGGGTCTTCTTCTCTTTTTCTTTTTTGTGGAATGTATTCCATTGACATTTTCAGCTAATCTGTTCGAATTTTCAAATTCAAATGGATTAGCCAAACAAATTTCATATTGCAAGAGTAATTTCAGGTAATAAAAACTTTACAAAGGTAATATATTTAAATTACCTGGTCCTCTAGGTTGGGGGTTTGGATGATAGACCTGCACCCTATCTTCTGTAAAAATAATCACACCACAACAGAAAGCTCCAGGAAAAAAGATGTTCTGTGATCTTTTTTTATACACAAGCCACTTTTTATTTTTTGTAATCCTGTTTAAAAGACATCTTGACAGTATGAAGCACATGCAGTATAGAAAAATGGCATGTTCTTTTGTGTTAACTGATGTAAAATCCAAATATTCAATTTAGGCACAATCTACTTTTATAGATTTCTGACAACAGATAATTAATGGGCAGAAAGATGTCAATTCCTTGATTGTTTTTGACTGTTTTGATTGAAATTACTCTTATCATTGATAAGATTATTTTTTTTTACTTTGTCCTTATAAGTTTTGCATAGTTTAAATGTACATTTATGGGCAATGACATTACTTTTGTATTCATATAGCTTATTGCACAAATTTTATTCTTTTGTGTTGTCATTTTGATCATGGCTTGTTCTGACTTGGTTTGAAATGAAACTTGTTCTGACTACATTGATGGTATATCATTAGACAATAGAACTTTATACACAAGTTTATTTTTCTTGTTCACATAAAATTGCTGCACATTTTCTAATCATACAAATGAGTGGGTAGAATTTTTTTGCATAATTTTAATAGAAAGAATTGATCATTTTAAGAAAATACATTATGAAGATTTATTGTTAATAATAGAATAAAAAGTTAAATTTAATTTGTAGGAACTTTTAGAAATATTGCCTTAATTAAATACAGGCATGGAGATTACATGATAACTGATTTAAATTAAAATATATTTTTATTGCATTTTTTTATTTATCAATATTAAAACATTAATATTTAATTACAGATAAATGAATTAAATTGAACTAATTACAATAAAATTTTTTTTATATTTGTGAAACTTATTTATTGAATATTACTTATCAAATATATAAATATAAATTAATTTTAGTATTGTATTTTGTGATTATATGTTGACAATTCCAATAGAAAATAAATTTTAAAATTGTGTGTGATTTTATGAATAAACATCACATTTTGTTTAACTTGATTTATATAATATATTTTAACCAGATATATAATTTAAAAAAAAATTATATATCTAATTAAAATATATTATGGAAAATAGTAGCAAATATATCAGACATGGAATGAGTTAATTTACAATTCATTTTTTCAATAATTTTTACTTAAGAACTTCAAAAGATTGTGTTTTGGACAGTTTGAATCAAAAAATGAATATCACTTTTCAGTGTTGTAACATTTTTATATATAAAACATTATATTCAATGAAATAATTATATTTATAAATACAGTAAGACCCTGCTGAACACAGGAGATGTGTTCCTAGATGACAAAGTGCTAAACGAAACAGTGTTAAACGAGGTCATTTTAACATAGAGTAAATAGGGATAGGGGCACATGCGACCAAAAATAAACAAATTGTACTTTAATTTTTAGTTATTTTTATATTGATTTGCATAATAATATATGTTAAATAACAATAAACATATGCACACAAATGTAAAGTTCATTTTTTGTGACGAAGGTCCTGACTTTTCTGAAATTCTTTATTTTTTTTGATAAAGTTGTGAAGTTTCGTTTGCCACTTTTTTCTTAAGTAAATGTCTGTAGCAGAAGATTGCATCCAAAACGCTTCGTTTTGCTTTTGTCCTCCTTTCAAAATCTGGATCATTTATTACAATTTGATCAATGATTTTGATTATCATTACCAAACTTTTACTAAGGAAATCTGTAGAGAAATTTTTTGGGTTCTTTGTTTTCAGAATCTCTATTTTCCAGTTCTACATTAATTCCATGTTTTGCCAGTTCTTGAAGGTCATCATTGGTAAGGCTCTCACCAGAAACCTGCTGTAACTCCTCAATATCCCACTTGTCTACATCTCATAGTTCTGCTGTATCAATTAGATTGAGTTTGGTCAATCTAACGATACAACGATAGGCTTTTCTCATTGAGAATTCTTGCATACCTTCAGCCATAACTTCTTCTACACTTTGTTCATGCATTTATCAGTTAATTCTTGCCAAGTGAAGCCGATATTGCCTATGACATCTATGATGATATATTTTTTCCAAAATTACACCAAACAAACATAGATTTAAAGAAAGTATACCTTTTTGCCACCTTTTTCTGATTGGTTTGTGTTTGTAAATAATCATATTATATATGAATCAATGAAATGCCACGATAATTTAAATCAGCGTAAATTTTGAGCGTTCTTTCTTTTTGTTTTTTTTTTTTTTTTATGGCTTTGAGCAGACTGTGTTATATCGAATTAGCGTTAAGTGGGGTAGCATTAAGCATGGTCTATCTGTACTATGGTATATATACTATAATAATAAACTGTGTGTTAAATATATACATTTTAAAGATAGGATGATTGTCAAGTTATCTGATTTAACCAAGGCTATGGAGTTGGTAAAACAAACACTTGACTCCGACTTCGACTCCTGATAATTTTAGTAGGCTGAGTCCGACTCCTGACTCTGGCAAAATTAAATACCAAGTCATTTTATGGGGGCAGAGACACTCATAGGGGACTACCCTACTCTGAAAGGAGCCCGTGGCATTTATCCAAATACTTTTATAGTTAATATTTTTAATATTTAACTTACATTAATATTTATTGGTATAAAAAATTAATTTTTAACAAATATTTAATAAGATGAAACAGTGGGAACAATAAAATTCTATACCTACATATCTTTATTCTACAGCTTTTGCACTTCAATTTCACCCTTCCAGAAAAGTTAATCCAACTGAAAAGTGTGTGATCTAGATATTTCAGCAGTTCCTTGTTCAGAAAAGAAAAATATATACTCTGATCAACTAGTCTGGCTCATTCAGAAAAATAGAGTACTTATTTAGAGCGGGGATAATAAAGGAATGAATCAAAAATATTCAAATTCAATTGGGTTAAAATAATTTAACTACTAAACACAAATACTACAAAGAAAACAAATGATACATATTTAATAAATTAAATTGTTGCATTTTGTATTTAAAATAAATGAATTATAACAAAATACAAAAACATTTTAAAAAATTGATAAATATAAAACAAATTTTTCTTTCATTTAAATAAAAAAAATTAAATTTTTTATTTAAAATTTATATAATATTTAAATTGTCGGAGTTGACACATTTTTCCTGACTTCGACCCCTCTGGCCA